GCGTTCCAACTGAAACATGAGACGACCAGTGTGCAGCACATTCAGTTGTAGAATATCATAAACGAGAGATTCAGATGAGTCTCTCATGAAAACCGGATTGATCGGCAAATGAGTATATTTCTCGAGAAGCAAAGTTCTCTTTTGCCACCGCCAACATACAATTCACTGACCACACAGTCAATGACTTACATGACGGTAAACCGGGGATTTCAGTGGGAAAGCACGATGTTATGGTGACAATGGTTTAGAGAGAACGTTCGGGACACGATAAGCACCATTCAGGTAGAAAACACCAAAAGTGATAGGAGATTATGATAAACTGGGCGTGGCGCGCGGAATCAGACACAAGCTCCCGAGGGAAAGATCTTATCCTCATTCTTATATTCCGATCGTTTCTAAATGGATGGGAGTGGTCTGCCAGGATTTCAAACATCGTGTGTGGCAATTGGCTTCAATCAGGTCACGAATAGAGGCCCAGTTCTCTGATATTCACATACCAGTCCTCAGGAAACACAACTTTTAGCCGGCCCGTTAAAGTTTCTGTAGAGATTATACGCATCAAAAGAACAACACCAACTTGAGTTGTGTTTTGAACACAAATCCATCTTAGAAAAAAAAGCAAAAGTCGGCTTCTTGGTTTGTCGGACGCCCAGGCAGCTGTCGTTGTTCTCCTGGAGACTGGTGCTGAGTACTCAGCGAATGTGTCTTGGGTGGCGAACTGAGACAGTTCACCCATACACAGGAAACGTGGCGTAGAGAGTTACTCAGGCTGCATTCGGCATCCTGCGTCATTGGCTGTCACTAAGATCTACTCAGTATCTGACGATCCTCGAGGATGGTCCAAGCCAAGCATTTACGTGCACAAGATTTTTTCGGATTGTGTAAAATTCGCCCGTGCTAACCTGCCTGTTACCCAGTCTCTGGTTGCCATTCTGCCACTACAACGGTCGACTGTCCTGATTCATACTTCAATGCTTTTGTCCTATTGAATCTAACGGATAGACAAAGCATAACAGCTCCAATTGAGAACATCACCATCAGCCACAAAACAGCGTATTTGCCGTGCAGTGGTTACAGCTGCCACAGTTTCGATCACCGACGACTTGGAGAGGAGGGGTAGGTAGCTACGCATTAGAGACGGCAGTTGATATAACCAATTCGCCAATACAGGGTCTGTGGACTTCTCATTAGGGAAGTTAGGAGGAGGGACTATGCATTGGAGGCGTACTTTAGCATTATTGACCCGAAGTTCCCACCAGACTCAGGCAATGCCTCGAAGACATCGATGTCCAAACACTGAAGGTCTTTTACCGTCCTCAGTGCAGGGCGGCAGCATTGTAAACTCAATACGACACATAAGTGGATGCCGCGCCTATGCCACAGGTGATGAAGATTCACTAAAGTTGCACCGGCCTCCCTAAATCAGATGAAAATACTATCTTCCGAAGAGAGCACCGGGGGCGATACAGTTGCCCAAGTAGACACAACCTCAACTGGCAAGAATGAGGCTCGGGTTCGAGCTCGCCCAGTCTTGCAGCAAAACTTTACACTTTGCAGGTGTGGAGCTCATACCAGACGATGAGGCAGAATAATTGAGATTATTTAATACTAGCTGCGGCATCAGACCCAGAAGAGCTATGTCGTCCGCGTACTCGATATCTGTGAGCAAATGCTCGAGGAGCATTTCAACGCCGTGAGCCTTAGAGGCTCGGAGTACGTATTTCATGGTCATATCAGTGACGAATTTGAGGAAGGATGAAAGAAGACAACTTCGCCTGACACCACTTGATGTCGTGGCAAAAGTCGGCTTCTTGGTTTGTCGGACGCCCAGGCAGCTGTCGTTGTTCTCCTGGAGACTGGTGCTGAGTACTCAGCGAATGTGTCTTGGGTGGCGAACTGAGACAGTTCACCCATACACAGGAAACGTGGCGTAGAGAGTTACTCAGGCTGCATTCGGCATCCTGCGTCATTGGTTGTCACTAAGATCTACTCAGTATCTGACGATCCTCGAGGATGGTCCAAGCCAAGCATTTACGTGCACAAGATTTTTTCGGATTGTGTAAAAATCGCTCGTGCTAACCTGCCTGTTACCCAATCTCTGGTTGCCATTCTGCCACTACAACGGTCGACTGTCCTGATTCATACTTCAATGCTTTTGTCCTATTGAATCTAACGGATAGACAAAGCATAACAGCTCCAATTGAGAACATCACCATCAGCCACAAAACAGCGTATTTGCCGTGCAGTGGTTACAGCTGCCACAGTTTCGATCACCGACGACTTGGAGAGGAGGGGTAGGTAGCTACGCATTAGAGACGGCAGTTGATATAACCAATTCGCCAATACAGGGTCTGTGGACTTCTCATTAGGGAAGTTAGGAGGAGGGACTATGCATTGGAGGCGTACTTTAGCATTATTGACCCGAAGTTCCCACCAGACTCAGGCAATGCCTCGAAGACATCGATGTCCAAACACTGAAGGTCTTTTACCGTCCTCAGTGCAGGGCGGCAGCATTGTAAACTCAATACGACACATAAGTGGATGCCACGCCTATGCCACAGGTGATGAAGATTCACTAAAGTTGCACCGGCCTCCCTAAATCAGATGAAAATACTATCTTCCGAAGAGAGCACCGGGGGCGATACAGTTGCCCAAGTAGACACAACCTCAACTGGCAAGAATGAGGCTCGGGTTCGAGCTCGCCCAGTCTTGCAGCAAAACTTTACACTTTGCAGGTGTGGAGCTCATACCAGACGATGAGGCAGAATAATTGAGATTATTTAATACTAGCTGCGGCATCAGACCCAGAAGAGCTATGTCGTCCGCGTACTCGATATCTGTGAGCAAATGCTCGAGGAGCATTTCAACGCCGTGAGCCTTAGAGGCTCGGAGTACGTATTTCATGGTCATATCAGTGACGAATTTGAGGAAGGATGAAAGAAGACAACTTCGCCTGACACCACTTGATGTCGTGAGTTTAGGCAAGAGATAAAGGTAAACTTTTATACTTCCGCTGAAGTTGGCGTACAGCATCCGAAAGTGGGTCAGGAGTTTATTGGGGCATCTTTGCTCCACTGTCATAGTGCCTAGAGATACACTGAGACAAGGCAGTCTTCGAGTCAGTGGAACAAACTGGCACTTCACCGTTGAGCGAACACCTTAAGCGTTGTGTTAATCCCTTGGTGGTGGGGCAAAGATGTGAGTGTCTCGTTTGGCAACGTATTTTCCACTTACTCGCATTTTACCCATGCTAAGCGACCGTCAGTGCCAATGACATGCCACCTGCTGTCTCGCCTCCTCAAGACCCATACGTCGATGTTAACAACTAGTCTACCATGGTCAAAAACATCCTGGGTTTTGTTTCGACAAATCGGAACCAGATTAGTCGTCTTTCATTGTCATGGTCTCGAATTATCCACTACCTCATCAATCCACCGGAACCTTCGTCATTATCCCACTTGTAGTGTCGTTCACTCCAGGTGAGACCATGGCGTGCCTGGCTTTGCGTTTTGACAGGCCTGCAGATCGTGAGCACGGCAAGGCAACTGGGGTATCCTCACAGCTGCGGGCTAAACTGGGCAATTTGTTGGTCGATAACGTGAGAACCTTAGCCGATCGCGCCCATGACAGGCGTTTGAGAAGCGCAACACACAACCCAAGGTTGTAGTCTAATCGACCATCAGCAGGGTAGCATTAATAGCGTGCGCTACAGCTTCAACCAAGATAACGACGATGCAACAAGATATTCGTTCACTGACCAAACTAAATTAGTATGGGGCATTCATCGATCAATGGAAATTTCACATAATTTTAAACAACAATTCGTCCAGATTGAAGCAAAAAATTACCAACAGACATGCAAACTTACCACCTACGATATCAAAAGTTTAAACAGTGCATTAGCCTGTAGGTTATGGACAGAGTCACTCACTGAATAAAGACTGTCTGAGAGCCAGAACGACCCGACTAAAAACTGGTTTATTTTTACTAGTTACGACCGCACCAAAGCACCTAACAAACTGGAGATTGGGCACCCTGTGTTTTGATTATGGCATAAGTTGCAAGACGTTTGAAGAGAGGTAATCTGCACAGACAAGCAACGTATTTCTTCCTAAAATAGGTATTTCAGTGTTCGATCCTTTAATGGTTGTATTGTCCCCTTTGAAGGATATTTCGGTTAAAAAAGCCTTTACGAATACCGTGTCGCTAGCAAGACGTACGGTTTTCTGTCCGCTACGCCGTTAAATAGATTGTGGAGGTTAACCGTTTCGCACAGGTAGGTTTGTGATAAGTTCTAGCTCATCCGAGATGGCTCGGTTGTTAAGGTGTGAACTGACTGACCGGAATGTCTGTGGTTCGAAACCAATTTCGGCTGATCTTGTCTAGGCTTGGGCAACCCGACAGTTCCTCAATCCTTGTGCTTCCTTCGAGTGGCACCGCAGCTAGGTGCCGAAAGGATGTTACAGCTGAACAGTTTTTTTAGTCTAAGATAGAGTGTGGTGTGCTAACACAGCGGGCACTTGGGAACAATGTTTGGACAATGTTACGTTACAGATTCATAGGGTTGAAACTCGAGAAATTCATGTATTGATTCGAATATCTATTCCTGTAAAAATTGTTCTGACGGTTTCATTGAACCTAAGTGTTATCGGGACGTTGAGAAATACGAAAATATTATCAACTTCCTCCTTCCAGGTTGCGGCGAGATTTGGGTGATCTAATCATATTCTCTCTGGGGAATGATTTGAAGAGCTGTTAGATTAGTTGTCTGCATGGACTAAATCGATTCAAATAAAAAAACACGAATCACGAATTTATTTCCACGGCAACGAAACGTATGTTTTTGGATGACGAAAGCTGAGATCACCAAATGCTTAACTGCATAAACCTGGTTGACCTGAAAAGAGAACTGTTCTATATCATAAATATGTGGACTTTCTAAGAACTATGAATACGGAGTAACTCTTCGACCAATTTTAGTAATGCCCAACTTCTCACAACACAAACTGGTCCCATGAATATGAAACTTCGTTCCCACGTACGTGCTGTGCTCCCACACCAGACTGTACCTCAGATGGGCTGGAACTTACCACAAACATGCTGGCGAGAAACGGATGCCCTTCAAAATTCATCAAACGGCACAGCGGAGAGAAGACGTCTTAGCAGTGGCGCGGTATCCGTAAAAGCATGTTGTAGAATTCCGCTTCAAAGGCGACAATGAAACCACTAGAACAACGGAATGCTGAGGAAGACGTATAGAGGGCGGATTCTCAGTGACTTAAGGGTTACCATTCCATTCAAGGGACCGAGTCCATCAGCATGCACCAGTTCACGTCTCGTTCGTTTGTTAGTTCAGCTGTAGCACCCTTCCGGTGCCTAACTGCCATGCCACCCGAAGGAAGCACGAGGGCTAGGATACTGCCAGGTTGCCCAAGCCTAGACTGTGGAAGTTGAGTGGCAGAGGTCGGATTCGAACCACGGACCTTCCAGTTAGTAAAATTCGCGCTCTAACCACTCAGCCATCTCGCTCAGTTCACATCTAATTGAGGAATAAGTTACACATTTGAAACCAATGGATGTATCAATGCTCGAACAACAGAGCAACTATTCACCGAAATTCGATCGCGGTTGAAAACCTGACACATCTGCCACTACAATAATCGACGTGGCCAGACAGCTTATGGCTACGGTTAACAAGGTTGATTCGACCCTAACATTCCATAACCTAATCGCTCGCCGGAACTCACGTGTTCTAAAGTTCACCGGGGCTGCAGTAACTAATCGACGTAACGGTAAGACTACCTTGAAGCTGGTACAGGTTTGCAACCACCTTTTCGATGACTAACCACACCACGATCCACGTGACTGTCCACCCTGTTGTAAAAGTCTGTTTTCTGGTTAGTGGTAATTTAGTACTGACAAGCGGATAGAAAATGAGTGCTAGTTTCCGTTTTTTACAGTGTAATCCAAACTATTGAAGCGACATAACTTCTATAGCTATTTACTTTCATTGGCTCCCTTTTAGGCTTCATATGGAATAGAATCTATGTGCGTTGTTATCCTACGATCACGTGACTACATAGGGAGATGACCCTAAATAGCACGCGAAACGGACAGTCGGGCGAGATGCCGAGATGGACGCAATCACGTGCATATTATTCCAACGCCCTAGAGCTTCGACTACTGGAAACAATCGACTTTTCATCAATATCATATGCAAAATAGGCTACAGTTGAAAAATATTTAGGACAAGGACGCATGAGAAAAGAAGATGGAATTTCATCGTGTACAGTCTCCGATAGGTGTGTTTGTGGATCTAATCACAAATTTGATCCTATCCTAAGCAGTCAAGTATCTAGAACGGTTCCGTTTATCAAAAGTTTGCTTCAAAAGCACACCAAGACGCGTTTGTTAACGGCCTACAACCTTGCTCATTCTATCAGACCTTGTAGTTGGGTGTCTATTTTACTGAGACTTTGGGATTAAACAACTGATATCATACACTGTCGATGCCTTAGTTTCGGATGTTTTTTACCCAGGGGCGAGAGGTCGTCCAAAAAAAAGACGGAAAGGATCGCATGGCTTTCCCAAAACGGAAATGAGTTTGTAAACCGACGAGCTTGTTGCTTTAAATGAAAAAGATAACTGCTTAACATTATGATGATTTATTTCCCGGCCTGAATAGAAATCATCACCCAGATGAACGACTTCACATCTAGCAGAGGAACCGAAAAAATCGAATGCGAAGTCTATTCAGAGGAGAGGACAAAGTTCTTGGGAGGTTGCTCATAAAGGAGTCGGTCTTGAAGTATGATGAGTTGCGTTTTCTTGCGAGTGGCGCAGCAATTCTACACACGGTAACTCTATTAGAGTCTCCGCAAGATTCTGCTGAACAGCTGCGGAAGCTGCTGAATTCGTCGCCACCATGCCTTGTCCTGACGGTCACGGGTTATTCGGCAATACATACCCGGAAAGTCTTGGTATGCAAGTCGCCGATCAGCGCGACCAGCTGTTCGAACTGCCGGGAAAGTCGCACACACACACACACACACACACACACACACACTTAGAGTACGGACATGTTAACCCTGTCTGGTCAAGATAGATCAGATGCGTTCAGCTTGCGAGAGTAGATCGGCGGGGAAGTGCCTATTCTGCAAATCAGATGACGCTGCAGCTGGAGAAATGAACTGTCGACTCAAGCTCATAAGAAGGGGACTCGAATCCAGTGCTCCTCCGAACTGAGCCTGGACAAGAGGAACGCTGTTCTAAAATGAGTTATGTGGATATATTTGTTGGTCTATCCTTGTGGTTTCCGGTTCACAGAGAGAGGGTTACATTTGTTAACGAGAACTTGTTCCTGTCTGCAAAAAGTTCTCAACTTGGCCCCAAACAGTTTTATTTGAAAAAATCGATTTCGAAAACGAAATTAAAGTGCAGCTTGATGGGTTCTCTAAGGAACGAACCAGTCCAAAGGAACACAATTTCCAAACGCAAGTTTCATCTGACAGACGATGACATAACCATATGACTTTCATGAGGTTATTGCAATTCAAGCAAATTGAATTTCTCCATCATACCGAAGAAGCTGTGCTATGTTGGCTAGGGACAGGGCAGACCGAGTGGAAAAGATCCAGAAAACGATTATTTTACGAAAATTTTGTAGACCCTCAGTGATAGTACCGATGAAGCAGTGCCTGTCCTTGGATTGAACCTATCAAGTTCTTTGTTGCGATGAATCAGGTGATGTGTCTAGCAAGATTAGGGGACAAAGTGACTACTCGAAAAGTGCTTTCCATGAGATCACTTCGGCAGTTGGCTTAGGATAGCTCATATGTGAGCTTTCTATCAAGGTGATGTGTCTAGCAAGATTAGGGGACACAGTGACTACTCGAAAAATGCTTTCCATGAGATCACTTCGGCAGTTAGCTTAGGATGGCTCATATGTGAGTTTTCTATCGAGCAGTAGGTTGGTCGTGTCTAAGACTGGTCTACCCGGTAGAACCTGAGACCTAGTGCGACGGGGGGGACGAGATGGTTCAGCGGTTAGAGCGCAAATATACTGATAGGAAGGTCCGTGGTTCGAACCCGATCTCTGCCTCTCGACTTCACCTGTCTAAGCTTGGGTAACCTGGCAGTATCCCAGGCTTCGTGGTTCGAACCCGATCTCTGCCTCTCGACTTCACCTGTCTAAGCTTGGGTAACATGGCAGTATCCCAGGCTTCGTACTTCCCTCAGGTGACATGGCAGCTAGGACCGAAATGGGGCTACAGCTGAACTATTATTTTTTATTTATCATTAGATGAAGGGTTGTATACCCGCGAAATAATAACAACCTAACCGTTATTGTGCATCACGCTACCGATAACATGCCTTATACAATCACTAGCCTACTGTGTGAGGTATAAAGGTGGAAACGGAAAACAAGCATACGTACCACGCCAGGTAAGACAATGTCGTTCTAAAGTCGCGGCTAACCACGAATGAGGCTGCATCATTTCACCGTGCGGCACAATTGGGAGAACCGGTTGGGAACTCGACGTATCAGAACTGTCCGAATGGAACAATCCCAAAAGGGTGTGACAGATAACTGGTCTTAAACTCGGAACCTGTTCACTCAGGTGGACCAACCAACGCAGAAATAGGGTGAAAAACATAGCCATGTTGTAGACGTCGGCATGTTCACAAGAACAATGAAGTGGACGGTTGGATAGACTGGATGAGGTACGCTGAAAAACAGAACAAAGCATAGACAGCTGATTACGTAGTGTACAGTAGATCGGAAACGGCGTTGACCAAACAACAAGTCACCTGAAGGGGAGGAAGATGTCCAGCAAATGGCACAGAGGTAAGAGCACGTTGTATAACATTCACTGATTGGGAATAACAACAGCTTAAGGTTAATGACGGCGATGATATACAATAAAAAGTGACAAGTAATTNGAGAAGGCCACACACTTGAGATCAAAACGACAACGGGAATCTCTAACGCTGGGTGTCAAACATCAGGGTTAGGATATCCCTCTTCTCCGAGATGCACTTACTATTAAGAACGAGAAGAAAGCGAGCTAAGCAAATATGTCTTACCATAAGAGCAGCAGCAGTTTTGGCTGCTTGACTAACACTCAAGCCAGTTTGCAACACGCTGCGTCCATCACGATTGACCACAATTGCATGATACGTAGCCTGTTGTGTGGAACAACCCATCACTCTGCGCAATGTCTTGATCACCTGGAATAAAGCCAAAATATTCAAAGCCATCATGATCATATTCAAAGTTAGTTTGGCAAAAAAGGATCATCGGTAAGAAGTCAGTAGGCTACAGAACCATAGCTGGTAGTAACCGCATAACTCGCCTGTTCGTAGTTATGAAATTCATTGTTGTGAAGGATGACAACGAAAGCATGGGAGGCAGCGGTTCGATCGGAGGCTGTTCGGGTGGGGCGCGGAGGGAATAGCTGGGGGTGTAGCCGACGGGCTCGGGCAAGTTGGGCCAAACCGCGAGCTTCCACGTCCACTGCTGTACGACGTTTGGGCGCGGTCCGAGGCCACGAATCTTCATCCAGTTCACTTGCATCCATTGAAGGCAGTACTAGAGGAACGTGAGTGATGGGTGGAGGCCATTCATCCCAAACGTCAGGGCTATCAGCCGCTTCGTTCACCACACAGTCATCGTTGGACCATAAATCAACAACAGATTGAACAACGGATTTCTTCTCCGAATCATCGAAAGAGAGACGCCAATCTTCTAAAACGTCCAATAAGGAAACCAACGTTTCTTGCAGGTCAGAACTCCCCGGACGGTGGCTAAGCGGCAGCGTTGTAATGGGACGCGAACCCTGGAAGTTATAAAGGAGAAGTACGAATGTAATTGAGGGGAAAAGGTAGGCGCATATTGCATCAGCAAAAAACGATCCGTTGAACAACCGAATGGGGAACGCAAAGATAGGACTGCCCAATCAAAGGAAAAGCCCGAAAACCTAAAGACAACGCCTCAGATGAAAAGCTACAAACGGAAGGGTCTATCTTTTCTCAATCCTCTTGAAGACGACATGGGCTTTGTCTAAATTACCAGTCGTTCGCAGCATTCTCGTAGAACGCTGTCACGAAATGAGCTGGTTGTTCACAAACCCCTCACGAGGGCGACGTAAATTGCGTAGTCAAACACGTCTAAACGCACAAAAATATGGACAACATGTGCATGATATTTACTCAAACTTCTGCTTGACCATCAAAGTTCACCATTCACTTAACCGAGAAAATTAACTGAAATTGCTTCGTCTAACAAAGGGTGCTGGACAAATATTACTCACTACTTTGCTGGCTGTTGCTGTGGGGAGCAAACAACGATGAAGTAGTCCAGGCATGGGAGCGCGTGCCGCTGTGTCCGTCTAGCTGAGACGACCTACGGCCAGCAGCATAAAGAACCACAGATTCTTTCGATATATGATGACCTTCATAGTCCATTACATCATCAACTAGAAAGAAGAACGCTTTAGCACAGCTACTGTTCAGCCGTAACACCCTTTCGGTGCCTAGATGCCATGCCACCTGAGGGAAGCAAGAGGGCTGGGATACTGCTAGGTTGCCCAAGCCTAGACAGAGGAAGTCGAGAGGTAGAGGTCAGGTTCGCACCAAGGACGTCCGGACTGGATTGTCTATGAGCGACAACAAAGTAGTCTGTTGGAGCCTTCTATTAGAGGGCTACTCGCTGGCGAAAAACCCGTAAGGAGCAGTGCATGACAGCGACGCGAAATGAAAACAGGTAGAGCCGAAGAGAGTCGTGGATGGGCACATGCAAGTGCCCAACGCGATTCTCTTTGCACACAGTTTAGAACCTCATATGGCAGCGTGCTATGACTTCAAAGCCGGACTTCCCCGAGTTTGTTTTGGGTGGGGTTAACAGAGGGCACCGTATCGGATTCACTGCACACGTCTTACTTCGACATAATAAGCATAAGGTTTCGTTTTAATACTGTCCAAGGGTGTAGCCACATTGCTCGCTGAGGACATTGGACTTTTTTTTAGACTAAGTCCCTAATCTTCCGCTTTCTCTCTACCATTTACGAGGGCGCTCTTTCCCCATCGCTGTGTGGCGGTGTTTACGACTGGTTCACGCGCGTGAACGATTGTTGTGTCTCCATTAGCACGCAGTGAAAGTAACAGGTGGAGCATCAACATTCTTGTTAGAGGAACTAGAAATTTTCCTCCCCAGCAATTTCCGGATAAACAATTTGGCTACTCCCTTTATACTTCCAGAGAAGCACACAGTGAATCAAGGCTTGACACATGGAATCTAGCGGGTCCAAGAATCAATCCCCGAAATCCACGTCAGCTTAGGAATGGGTCCCGAACTGTCATCTTACGCTGATTGGTGCATTATGGTTATTCTTCAAATATATGTATGCACGCTGTCGAATGTCATTTTTATCTTGCACATAAAACGTAACACATCAAGATCTGGCTTGAGGGGGAAATTCCGATCAAATCGGACCAGTTTAGTTCAGTTCAGCACCGTGTGCGTATCGTCCGTAAGGGTGATAAATCGAAACCACCAACTATCCGAATTCCTTCGTGCGTTGCACGAATAGAAGTTATGACAAGGCCACAACAACCAATCACAACAGGATTGTTAGTACCCTAACTGGAAATCAAAACAAATAACACTAGAAGAGAAAACCTCACACTGGACATTGACCTTTGCAATGTGAACGCAAGCTGAGATTCGAGTACTAACGAAAGAAATCCCCACCTGCACTCAAATTTGAGTCTGCTCAGCTTGTGAATCCGGATGTTTGCGGTTTAAAACAAGTTGGTGCATAGTCTTGAATCTTAACTTGCTGTCCGACCTTGAAATGCTCGACTTTTGTGATATCTTCCCATAGGTTATTAGATCCATCTCACCTCCCAAAATCATGGGGAACTGTATCGAAACCACTGTACGATAGTACGCGGGGTCTTACAGGATTAAAATGGTTCCTAGGGCAGAATGGAGTACGGAGATAGAAAACTTCGTTGAATTATTTCGCCGCTTGTTGTGGACTCTCCGGGATTCTCTGTTTGAGTGGATAATTATTTCAAAGACAGAGTTGGTCATCCTACCAGAAAGATGTGAGACTCTGATATCTTCCAAACTGGACAACAGAAGTCTACCAATTCAGGCACTTTGGAACAAAAGGTATAGTGATTCGATCGGCAACGAGCGAACTGATCCAAATGAGCCAACTATGAAATGCTCACCGGAGAAGTTCATTTAATTCATTTCTGATAGCCAGGAAGCCCATAGGAAGACACCTTGTACACTCAATGTTTTTCAAAGGAAAGTGATATCTTCATGGAATTATTCTGTCGACATGCGAAGATGGCTAGGCCGAAACAGTCAGCACACTATGCCCCATGAGTTAATTCTCTCAAAAGCCTGTTTCGACCTTTCTGAAAAGGCAAACACGGTACCCTAAAGAATAATTACCACTGGTTATTCCCGAACAGTAAGTTTTTTTTACACGGTACCCTAAAGAATAATTACCACTGGTTATTCCCGAACAAACAGTTTTTTTTACCTGCCATGAGCTTCGAAGTGCACCAGCACTTCTACTTACACTGGGCACAAACAGTGGGCTTTCGAGTGTTGGCTCCAACTATTCGCGCAAGTTCCTTCCCTCCCGTTCCGCACGTAATGGACTAAATCTGCAGCACAGCAGATAACTTGGGATCGACCGATCAATCAACCTTCAATCTTCAAGCGAGTTTGTGGGGCGCACCCTCATGTACAAAATCAAGGTCGAACATCGGTAAAAAGAATACAAAGGGCACTACAGATGCGCGATGAAATAAGAATTCAGAGCGTGGGATCAACACTAGCGAATAGGCCGTTGTCTTGTTGGTTGCAGTCCGATCAATTTTGTCTTCGAAGAGGGATTGCGACCGCTCGAAGTTGTCGGGACCATATCTGTCTCAGCTACGCCAACTGGGTCGCATACGGGGAAGCCACCAACCACAGAGAACTGATTGCGAATGATCTCAAGTGGTCAAATGTCCGGTGAATTGATGGCACAGTCGTGTATATACCGAATACGCCGATTTGACATCATATGCCCTCGACTGTTCATTGATCATACTGAGCCAACCAAAAGCTGTACGTACAGCAAGGCCAATTAATAGGAAACCTTTAATTCCCCGTGAGGTCAAAACTAAAATTCCCACGCGAATTTGAGACATCCAGTTGAACAAGACGAGACAAAAGAGATGATACTTTGTCAAATAGCTATCTTCTCGTTATTCATTTGAACTGGTGAATCTGTAGGTGAGTAGGTTCAAGTTGTGAATACATTGATTCAGGCTAATTGTACAGACTAACTACAAATTGAACACATTCGCGCTTCAAACAGATTAACCTTTTCGCATCCGGCAGGTGTTGTAAGGCACCAGGGCTGTGAATCGTTTGCGTACACAACGGTTTACAGGAAATAGAGACTAAATTGTCTATATTTCCAGTTGGCTGACACTGTTGTGGTTCCCAGCTTTTATTTCTTCTGCGAGTAGTCTAGTCCCAAAAGCACCACATTAATGAACGGGTTAGCAGCTTTATTCGGCCAACACCGTCTGAATTTCAAAGTTCGTTATTCAAAATCCACATTTCTCTTCACAAGATCCAGGCAAGAGCGATCTCAAAAAGGTTCCACGGGTGAACCTGAAAGCCGGTCTCTCTAAAGAGTCGGAATCGAATTCCGATTGCAAGTAAGTGCACACTTGGACAAAAGATCTCTTAACACCCATCACAGTCACTGGGGAATACGTTCACATGACTACAGAGTAGGCAATATAGCAAATTGTCATTACCTGAAGCAAATCGTTCAAGCAAACCACAGCACTGCTGACCAATGGTTTTAAAAGCCTCACAGTCCGCAAAACCAAACTTGACGGAAGGCTTTCAATGTGGTCACGCAGTTTATTTAGTTCCGATTGGAGTTCTTCCTCAACCGAACTGGCTGCATCCTCTGCTTCGGTTGTGCTACCCGCATCATCACCCGATTTGGCAGGCTGATGGTCGGAACAGGCTGCCCCAGATCGCCAGGCTTCCAAGTCCCCACAGTCACAATAGCCACCACCACTGGATGTGTGCATCTGTAAAATATATATTTGGAGGAAAAGAGATTAGCTCAATGTTAAAGTAGGATTTCAATGAAACTAGCGCAGACAGTCCCGAAGATGTAAGCAAGGGCGTAGATATCAAATGAAAACCATAAATCAAATAAACAACAAAGGGTAGAAACCATCATACCTGGCGAAGTATATTGTGAAGTTTCATGCGTAGAGTGCAGGGAAGAGATGAAAAAAGTCAAGAATGAGTTGCTCTCAAGTACATAAACTCACCTACCAATATTTCAACAAATTACCAGAAAGCCTAATAGTACTGGATAGATTGGGATTCAGGTTGACAGGATTAAAGAGGCTCTAGAATGAATACTACTCATCAAACTCCAGGACTCCGGCTAAAGAAAGAAAATGTAATTTCCTCTGGACTCCTGTGAAGTCCTTGATTTCATTCTCGACAAAAATGGCCGTTGATCCGACCCGTCCAATATGTACGCAATTGCGAGAATGCTCCGACCGTCCAATGTTGCTGAACTCAAGTTTTTTGGGTTGATTAGTTACTACAGCGCTTTCTTGTCGATTAAGCATCGTTTGCACGAACCCTTTAACCAGCTTTCGATCAGAGGATGTCGAGAGATTCGGTAACGCGACAGTCAGCTTGCATTCGAAGAAGTAAAGAGGCTGTTGCGGTCCAATCTTGTGCTCAAGCACTTCAACCCCTAAACGCCAATCATTTTTACAACTGATGTATTGAACCACGAAGTTGGAGAAGTCATAGCTCAGGCATTCCCTGATGGTACGCAAAAGGTGGTCGCTGGCCCCAGCTGAACGGAATTAGTGGCAGATTGAGAAAGGGGCGCTGTCTATCATTTTTGGTGTGAATGGTTTCCGCAAAATTCTTTACAGCACAAACTTCACGCCTGTGACGGAGCATAAACCACTGTTTGGTTCCGAGAAAGATAACCTGGTCAATACGGTTAACCGCCTGCAACGGTGGGGCACGACTCTACTTGGCTACAAATTTACCATGAAGTATGTCTAAACCGAGAAAATTGGGCAGACCGACGCGCTTTCGCGCTTGATTGATTTCACTGAGATGGAACAACAAGCTAACGTCATGACAGTCGCCCTCAAACCGGAAGTCCACGCTGTCATGTTGGAGACCATGAGCTTGTGACTGTTAATACGGTCTGTGGCACCAACAAAGACGACAGCGTACTACAGAAGGCGATGGGGTACCACCAAACAAGCTGGCCAACAACCTGCCCATCTGTAGAACTCCGGCAACTGTTTCAAAGACGGAGTAAATAACTGTCTTTTCTTTGGTGACCGAATCATCGTTCCCATCAAACTTCGTAGACGAATCCTAGCACAGCTTAACAATTAACATCCAGTAGTGAGTCGCATAAAGGAGCTCCCTAGCTGTTGTTTATTGGCCCGGTGTGCATGAGCATATCAAGCAGGTATGTTGGAGCTGTTTCCGACGCGCCGCTGACCAGAAGTTACCTGATCGACGGTCGCCGCAGACTTGGCCACAGCCAGGAAAACCATGGTCGCGTATCCATGTGGATTTTGCCGGAGTAATTAACGAACAAAGCTTCCTCATCGTTGTCAATGTATTCAGTAAGTGGCCTAAAGTCCCTATGTCTGAGAAAACAACGATAGCAGTCATCGCAAAACTGGGGTATTTGTTTTCAATTTTCGGCCTCCCGGAAACTATTGTAACCGACAATGTTCACTTCCTATCAGTTTGGTGAATTTGTTCAAAAACATGGCATCACACATATTGCTTCCCCACCGCTCCATCCCAAATAAAATGGTCAGTCTGAGAGGTTCGTAGATACTTTTAAATGGGCGTTGACAAAAAATAGGGATAGGACCACGGCAGAAGTCTTGGATATGTTCCCGCTGAATTATCGAGCAACTCCCGATCCGCAGTCTCCTGACGGTCGCTCTCCAGCAGAAGTAATGATGAACAGACGGTTGGGACCTACCCACGACGCCCATGTGCTTTCAACCACTGACAGAAGGGAAGCCAACATTCCGGTCTGGAAACCATATGCTTGTTACAGACTATCGTCCTGGGCATCGAAACTGCACTGTTGTGGTCGTCCTCAAAAGGATCGGTCGGATGGTTTATAACGTCGGGATCATCTACATGGAAACGGTGTGTCAGTCAGCTACGGCCAACTGAGTGCCCGATCCAAAAAGCGGAAGAACAGCCATTAGAGCTTCCAAGGCCAGTCCGAATGACCATTGGTCCATCTGCACCGTCTACGACCGACCAACCGCTGAAACCGAGATGCTGAACCGATC